GGTAATGAATACTCGAAAAGTGAAGTAAGATATTTTGTTTCACGATATAGAAACTTACATATGATGCACGATCCTCGCAGTAGATAGCGCTATTTAAGCAATAGCGAAAATCAGACCTGAAAAAAATCAGGCCTGTACGGGATTCGAACCACTGACCTCTGCGATACTAGTGCAGCGCTCTACCAATTGAGCTAACAGGCCAACTGGGAGCAGGCCGTTAAGTTGATTTGTAATAAACCCGTGAAAGTGATAAATGAGATACAATGAAATATATGAAGTTCAAAATAGATGAACTTCATATATTTCATTGTATCTCATATAGAATCTTCTTTACTTGGTTTTAGTGACAATATCAGTGTATTATCAGCTAATGCCATATTTTTTACACTAGTTGTAACTACGTCGTGAAGATTTCGGTCAAAATATTGGAAAAGTATTGGTACAGTATATTAGCAACAGAAGTCTCAGAAACGTTTCATTATTTATCTCCTTTGAGGTAATTTTGAATTTTGAAGGAGATCACGTGATTTTTATGAAAAACAGAGGAAGGGGCTGTCAATTAATTGTCAGTGGTAAGAGGGGTGGGGCATAAAGATATTACAAGGTGTTATGGAGGATCAAGTGAATGTTATTTGGACACAACCAAATTCCTCCAAGATCCCACCGGTTCACTTATTTGATGAAACAGTTAACATTGGTCCCTTAATCTTTCTGTATAATTTCTTTCCATGAGTGCGCTTCGTACTTTTTTCTCTCTCTTTTTTTTTACCATAGAGCAAGCATAACTGCGGTTGCGGTAATGGTTTGGCCAGCAGAGTAACAACCACAATCCGATTGCCTTTTGGGATCAAGATTCCCATCAAACAGTGTGTGAAGCCCGAGTAAACGTGGCGCAGAACTGATCTCATCCAAAATTGCAGATAAAGTAGTTTGAAATTTGTAGAGGAAAGTCTGTAACAACAAAGGGAGGAATAAAAGCACATTGAAAACCTTAAAGAATCTCTTTCCAAAATATGACTTTGTCAGCGGGTATTAGAGAGCGCCAAATATGAGTCAGGTCCCTCACGGTCACGTTCACTGTTGTTTGTATCGGGAAGGGTAGGGGAGGGGAAGGAAAGTGGGAGGGGGGAAATTTGAGCTTCGTAACATGGTATGAAACCTTACTAGTCAGTGAATCTTAGCTTCGCTGTTATTCCTCTCCTGACTATGCATTCTCTCGTAAATTAAAATAAGAATATGGGTTGTATTAGGATAACTATCTTTTCTTGATACCTTTTCCAGTTCTCGCACCCTCTTCACAGTTGATTTTTAAAACTCGTACCGAGATTTTCCGTGTTCATCCACTGTTAATGGCGCGGTTGAAGAGTTGAAGATTACTGATTTCAAGACTAAGATGTTCCCGTTTGCTCATAAAAAAAAACTTGGAAAAATTAAAGAGCCCCATGTGAAGTCCATTTAAAATTTGGCACTGTAATGCTTACAAATGATTACTTGCCTACAAATGATTAATTGTACATTGTGTATGTGTACTGGTATGTGCTATTATGTTTGTAAAAGCCGTAGCTTCTGCCTGGGCTTGAATGAATGAACAGATATTTGGAAAAAGTGTGATTCAAATTTAGTAGAGTGACCTGTTCAGATCAAATACATCTAATTAAACATATTGTTTAGGTATATTATTACTTCTTTTAAAAACCTTACCCCTGCTCAATTTTTGGCATATTAATGTACAGTTTTTCATCATCTGTTGACAATTTGCCATTTCCTTCCGATTTATTCTATTCATTTTGATATATGAGCTCTTCCTCCCCAGGAAAATATCTGGTCCTCTTTTACTATCCCTCTGACTTGTAAGTATCAGTCCACAACTGTTACAGTAATCATGACTGTCCCCAAGGGGACTGGTAATGAAAGGTTTCCTTTATTGTTATGACCTTAATGCTTGAACCAGCATGACGTTGTAAGGAGACATTAGATACCAAGAACTCCAAGCTGTCTGAGGGTTGAAAAGTTTCGATTAGTCTCAGCGAACAACTCGACGGAAAAATAATTAGTGGGTACCAGCCGCTGTTCGGGAAATGAGCCCATGCTCTTATCCAGATCCCAGTAACCGACGGAAATCGAACCTGTATGTGTTTTTAAGGATCGGAGCTTACGGTAGGGTAGAATACTTCGCTGTTTGAAAGAGTGCCTTCAGTGTCTTTGCCACGGTGCCTGGCAAAATATGGATATGTTTTGCTTTTATAGATTTGATGACCTTTGAAGCTGACCCTTGATTTAAGTCGAGCCAATTTTCCTTATCCCAGCGAATAAGAGGTAACTCGTGGGTCCTACCCTTGAAATGTAATGTTCTGTTCGAAATAAATGTGCAAGAAAATATTATAAAGACAAGGAAGGGGTGTGGTGGAGGAGGGATTTGAACCCCGCTGAACAAAATTTTACCTCTCTTGATGGTAGTTTTGTTCTTTCCGAAACCCTTTTTACAATAATATTTCAATGCTAACCAGAAGGGTGATACTCGAGGGACAATGGCTGCCTTTTCTCTAAAACTTTCCGGGTGTACAAAGTAAACTGCAGTAAATATATAGAAAGAAGTAAGGAGAATCGATATCAGGATCTTGGGAGTGAAAGTGTTGATGAAATGGACTACAACTAGATTACGTACGAAGTAAATACAAAGGAACTCCTTTGTTACCGCATTTCATAATTTAATACAATGTCTGCTCTAGGTTTTTCCAATAGTACATTACTTCTAAAGTGGAAAGTGGTATAACGATTTAAAATGCATTTAAAAAAGGGGTATGTACAACTTGTAGCAGGCCAAAAACTTCAAAGGTAAAATATCTTTAGATTATCTGTAACGCCAAAATTGAAACCTGGTAATTAGCTTATGCTTAAAGCTGTTCCAAAAATCATAAAATTGTTGTTCGTGTCTGTCAGAATGACTTGATAATAAACCACATGAAGTTGCACATTGATTTTTTTAGAAAAATTTGCTGAATAATCCCAACGGAGACCATGTAAATTTAGTTCAAATGTTTTGCCTACATAATACGTCTTCCGTATGGCCGTAACATTAGCTACTGAAAATCCACAGACAATCTGTCATCTGATTTTCATCAGTATAAATTTCCAAAACTGAATATAATAAAAANNNNTCTCAATTTCTCCTGTTTCTTTTTTACCATGTGCTGCAATGTGAATTAGGGCAACTGAGGACATTCGCCTTAATACCTCGTACTTTGTCGCCTCCTCTCCAATAAGAGGAGCAATGCCGATGATTTCTCCAATCATCTTCACCTCTTTCCTTGCACCCGGAAGTTGACTCAGCAATTTCTCCTGATGAGTAACTTGTTTGTAACACGGATCCCCCACGAGCAGCGCACCGGTTTTAACATGAAATTCTTTCGGGCAGTCAGTGATTGATTTTAAAAAGGATAAGGATGGGAGCACTCGAATCCTGAAAGATTCGCACAGATACCTTGAATTCGAATCCACCAATGCTGCGTAAGGCACCAAGCAGAGTGGACCTTCCGGAACAAATACAATTTCATCCCCTTCAACCAAATCAGCGATAGGAGTAACTATGATATCATGGAGCTTCCTCAAGGCATTTGTCATCGAGTTTCGCAAGGAGTCATGGTTCGTTCCTTCTCCATCTCGGCCCACTTCAGGTAAACTTATTTCCCATTGAACAGCAACCCTTGCATTGTCTTGTGAGCGAGTAGCCTTATTCAGAGAGGTGATATAGAATTCTAATTCATCCTGGTAAACAAAGTTGTTCACATGCTTCACTCTCGATCCGACGACTTTCCCATTCCGAATTACCCACGAAACAGTGTAAGGTCCGGTTATTGCTAGAAAAACTGCATCTGATAAAATGTTTTTTAGTGAAAGGCAGTCAGAGCGTTTTCCAGAGCTCAACTGAGCGTAGGCTTGTACAAAGCTATACTTTACATCCACCATATCTCCTAGAGCTTGTGCACGTCCCTCCTCGGCAGCAAGAAGAGCTTTGACATCCTCACCCTGTTTTAAACGAACGCGCCAAATACCTTTGTATGCCGTTTGGTGAACATTTCGGAACGAAATCTTCCATGCATCGTGACTTAGAAGACTAGCCCGAAGCTCATTAAAAACTTCCCCACTGGAAACAAAATAGTTCTGGGCTAACTGGAGACATCCCTGCCTTTCATAAGTGAGAGCAAGATTACATTGATTCACGGCCATCACAAGCATTTGCCCTTCTTCTTTTGCAATTTCTAGAGCGCGTTTATGGTACTCGATGGCTGTTTTGAACTGTCCTAGACCATGATAAGCATTGCCAAGATTTCCATAACTCTTTCCTTCTCCAGCCTTGTCTCCCACTTCTTTGGCAATTTCTAGGTGACGTTTATGGTACTCGATGGCTGTTTTGAACTGTCCTAGACCAT